TTTCATTGCAAAAATGTGTCATGACTTTTCCGACAACTCAGTATATATCACGTTGTGTGCTCACCACCCAGAGTCGGTTCTCCTTCCATCACCATATATTTGACCCCTTTTCCTTCTTCTACCATCCCTCTCCCTCCTTACCCGCTGGTAACCACTAAACTGCTGTCTGTGTCTATGAGTTTTTCTTTATTTGTTTGTCTTGTTCCTTTGTTGCTTTCAGTTTTACAGCCCACATATGAGTGAAGTCATATGGTTCTCAACTTTTTCTGTCTGACTTATTTTTCTATCTCAGTTAGCATGAAAATCTCAAAATCCAGCCATGTTTGCGACACCATGGACCTATTATTTTATCAAATGATACTCAATGAGAAAACGCATAACTATCTGCTCCTATCTCTAAGAACAGTATCCATGACTACCTCTAATTAATCCTTCCCTACTTTCTAGTTAAAATCTGTTTCCTGTACTTTTAAGAGCCTTTGGTCTTACTTAGTCTTTCCGCGACAAAACAGATAGCACCTCAATATCCTTGACCACAGCCATCAAGCAAGCTTGACCTTCATCCACAACAAACACCCTGGCATGAGCTTTGGAAGACTGGGCTTCAAGCCCTGGCTGGTACTGGGAGGCAGGTTAGCTTGCTGGTTACAGCAGGGGCTCCAGAGATAAACAGCTGGAGGCGAAGTCCAGGCTCCACCGCTGGCCAGCTGTGTAAACCCTGAGCTGGTCTCCTCAGTTTGCTCATCTATGAAATGCGTATGTAAGGTACACCGACCTATTCAGTGGTGAAGATTCAATGAGCTGAAATGGCTCCAGTGCCGAGGACAGCTGCTGGGGTGCCGTCGGCGCCCTGTAAGTGTTAGGGGGTCTCACACACTCTCAGGTGCTTCACCTTTAAGCGGTCAGGTGGCGGCCTCCTTCACTCAGAAAACCACTTTCCACAAGACTTCTTGGGCAAATGCTATGCCTAGCCTTATCGTNGACAGAGGGAAAGATATTAAGAATGGCACTGAGTATCCAGAGGAATGCTAAGCCCCATTTCTTAAATGGTGAAGCTGGGTTTTGGGTTTTTGGTTTTTTTTTTCATTTCCTTCCCTAAACATACTTTAAGTTGCATAATTAGATCGTACAGTTCAATGAGGGCATTTAAAGACCTCTGGCATTAAAATAAAAGTCGCTTTGGGAGAAAAAAGCATCTTTTAATAAAATGTTTTGCCCAAAGTGGGAGGAAAAAAGGAAACAAATGAAAAGCGACAGAGTCTACCCCTGCAGATCAATGAGTCAATGCACAGAAGCTGGGAATTTGCCTTAAAATGATTTCCGCATAAGTCTGGGGTGCTGGGAAGGAGAAGCAGCCTAAGGTGAGGCGATAAAAGAGAGGCACAGAACCTCACTTTGATTAGACAGGGTGGGGGGGGGCGGGGGTGATGAAAGACTGGCTTCAGCCAGTCGGTTCTCGGGCCCGTCCCACACGCGGCGGAGAGGCTCTTTGGTCAAGACAGTGACCAGGCAGGACCAGCCACTTGCTATAGTGGGACCCTGGCTGGGAGATGAGGGTCACATGGACACAAGGAAGTGGCTTCTACAAAAGACCCTGCTGTAGGAAAGGTGGGGTGATGCACAGAAAGTAGGGGCCAGGGAGGACCTGCCGCTTGTCTTTTTGATTTGGGAAAGATTAGGAAAATCAGTGTCACTAGAACTTTCGGGGATGGAGGCTGGAAGGGTCGGCGGGGCCCAGACCGCGAGAGGTTGGGAAGGCCAGGGGCAACATCTGCACCTTGGATGGTGGGCCGCGGGAGGCACAGGGGTCCTGAAGGCTGTAAAGCTGGCAAGCACAGGAGGGCCAAAAGCTGCCACTGCCTTTGTTCCCTGAGGCCCTGGAGGCGTTCCCTGTTCCCAAGATGTCCTCACTTTTCTTTT